TTATTTGCTACATAATAAATACTAATCTAATACCATAAATGGTATAACTAGTCTACTTTATTTAAACAAGACATTACAGACAAACTTGACCCACAATAAAAGTTCTAACAAACATCCTCAAAACACAGCCTTGACACTTAGAAAAATTTACAAGTGCAAGCATACTTAACTACAAAGACGATGAGGGAATCATGACGAGGAAAAGATTGTCATTAATGGATGCAAAGATACAAAAGGTGGGCGCTTCGGCCATTACACGCATTTCAGTGCTAAGACTACAAAAAACTAATGAAGGAAATAATACAAGCTATGAGGCCTCATCGGCTTGCTCCCTACCCTGGCCAGCATCTTCCCCATCGCCATCACCATCATCCTCATCGCCATCACAGTAATCCTCATCGGCCTGGGAATCGGCTGGCCCCTCGAGCAGGTAATCATCACTATCGCTCCATGGCTCTTCCCCTTCGTCCGAACTTAGGATCGGAGGTTTCCTCTCCGACAGGGGGAGCTTCATATCCTCATCAGGATTTTTCATCCGCCGGGGTAGACTCAAACCCCTCGGCCTCATCTTCCGGAAGCGACGACGAAGCTTCCTGTAAATCAGCCTCTGCATCCTGTACTGGCCGCAGTTGTAGAAAGCTTGCGTCTCGTTCATCCAGAAGTCCTCGCCGGCGGGATCCTTTATCACCCAATCTGTGAGCCTCTCGGCCACCACCTTGTAGCAGAAGAGGATCTGTTCTTCGGCCTTCCACCCCTCGACCGTAAAGTCCTCGACGGCCTTCTGAGCAGCCTTCTCAGCTTCGGCCTTAAGTCCCTCGGCCTCCTCGGCCCTCTTAACAGCAGCAGCAACAGCTTCATTGGCCTTCTTCCGGGCTGCCTCGGCATCATTGAGCTGGCATTGGAGGAGCTTCATCTCGTCCTCCGCTGCCTTGGCCTTGTCCTTAAGGTCTTGAAGGGCCTCATCGGCCGAAACAGCTTTGGCCTCCACCTTCTTTAGCCGCTCAATCTCGGCTTCTTGCCTCCAGTGCTGCTCCCTCAACATCAGGGCGCCCTGGACGAAGCAAAGTTAGGAAATGAAATCCGAAAACCAAAGGGAAAAATCATAACTACGGGGAAGAGAAATTACCTGGACGACATAGTCCATCCCTCCATCGTACAGCCGAACATGCTTACCCTGTCGGCTGAGATATTGACGGTCATACTCAGGCATAGCCTGGGCAAGCACGTCATCACCGCTTACAGTCTTGTTGAAGAGACCGCCCTTCACCGGGTAGCGCACGGTCACTTCGTACGTTCCCTTGGCAAGGGCCTCCTCTAGGCGGGCAGCAGCGGCCGAAGAAGGAACCACGCGCGAGGCCGTGGCGACCATGGCCGAAGAGGGCCCCTCTTCCAAATCCACTAGGGGAAGGCTCTTAGCTGGATGAGCAGCCTCAGCAATTGGGGCGGAGGAAGCACCGGCCCCATCATTCTTCTTCGTCTTCTTTGGGACTGGCACCACATTCAGGCCAGCTTCGGCCAGAGTCTTTTGACCCTCATCGGCGGCCCTCTTGTTCTTCTTCTTGACGGCGGGTTTCTTGACGACCTCAGCACCCCCCTGAGAACCGCCCGCAGACTTCTTCGCTGCCTCAGCAGCTTGAGCAGCCTTCAGCTCCGCATCGGCTTTCTTCGCAGCTCGGGCCATGAATGACATTCGATCCATGACAAAACCTGCACAAAACAACGGAACATCAGTAAAACAATAAAGGAAATACCAAGAGAATGATAAGTAGACGAAGGACAACCTTCGGCTTCAGCAGGGACACCAAGCGAGGGACTGTCGGCCTGTTCATAAGACCACTCCATCTTCGGCCAGAAGCCATCGTCCACATCACCAGGACAGTAATATCTCACGAAGCCGAGGGCAGCCATCCTGTACTCCGTAACGTACGTCTTGATACTCCTCGGCCCCCCCTTTATGAAGGCCTCTACTTGGTTGCTTATTTCGGCACCCCATGGAGGAGAATGCAACTGGAACATGCCGCTATGGCCATTAGAGGGAAAGAACCCGCCTCGGCCCAGAGTTACAAACATGAACTTGGCTTTCCAGCCATGTATGGACGTAGGGAGATCCTTGAACGACCTCCTCCCGCTAACCTGCTGCAGGGTTGCGTAACCAGCACAGTTTTGGTGGCTCCCTCGGCCAATCCGGAACATATTCATAAAAAGGGCAGTCGTCGGCGAGAACCCCAACTCGTCGCACCGGATTAAAAAGCCAATGATGATAGAAAAGCTATTGGGAGTCAGCAAGGCCGGGGGGAGCTCAACCATATCCAAATACTCCTTGATGAACGGATGCAGAGGGAGCCTCAGGCCCTTGGCAAGGCTCATCGGATAAACCCCGAAATAGCCTGGAGGCGGATTCAAAACGTGATCCGACGGCATGGGGGCCCTAACACGGCCGTAGGGACCAACGTACAGCTGTGCCACATGGTATTCGCCGAGGGATCCCTCTGGACGAATAATGTTAAGGTTTCTAAGATCCAACAGTGAATACCCCTGCGGTACCCCTTCACGCCTCTTCTGCCGATACGGCTTCTTTGCCCCGTGAGCCGAGGGGCCTTTCCCCGCCACAGACGATATCGGCGGAGGACAAGGTATGTTGGCAGAAGATGACGCCTCGTCACCTCTCAAAGGCGAGTTGGATATCGCCTCATCCTCACCCGAGTTCTGAGCACCCGCATCGTCACTCAGTCTCTCCTCGTCCACCGAAGTGCGGTAATCCGCAGTAGTCTCCATCTCCATTGCCAGTTCGTCCACAAGGGTCAAGTCGATTCGAGGCGAGTCGTCTTCCTCGTCAAAAGGCATGTCCTCTTCGTCCAACGAGGCTGTTAAATCAATGGGGGAGGGAACGCTACGGCCGTCAGGAAACGGCATAACATCTAAAAGCTTATTCCTAAGGGTGGTTTTTCGGATCAAAGTGGTTTCCCTACAAACACTAGATCTAACCCCCTAGGAAGCAAAGTATAAGAAAATAAAGAAGAACAGGCAAGAATCTGACCTTTGAAGATTTGAAGATCCGAAGGAAGGTTGATGAACACTTGAAGAAACCTCGGGAGCTTTCTCTCTCTAGAAACAAAGGGGCAGCACTTCGACTCAAGCAAATGCAAAATAAGGGGAAGGCTTCGGAGCAAGGGGTATTTATAGGCATCCCCCCAACAGTCACTACACGTGGCAACCTCCAATTGGCCACCTCAACGGCACCTCTCCTAGAGCCAATCAGCGCTTTTCTTTTCACATTCCACTCTAAGGCCACCGCAACGGCCCAACAAGCCCCAAAGCTAGGATGAGCATCGGCCTACTCACTCAAAAGCAAGGAAAAACTCGCTGCGGCCCAACTTACCAAAAGGGATGGCCACATCATCCAAAACGCTCTACGGCCCCAAAGTGACCCAAGGAACCACAAGTATCGCTACGGCTACTTACGCGCACATCGTTTGATGATGACCCCGGTATTGCGGCATTCGTCCAAGGGTTCTCCCACAGGGTTACCTTGGACAGGTTCGCCTAAGGGTTGGACTCACGACTAACGCATAAGCTGTCGCATCGGCTGGAGTACATCATGACTCCCTTGTGCCTCAAATACTCTTCGGCCAAAGGAGTGGGGGACTGGGGGGACTGTATCGGTTACAGGAAAGGAAAACAGCATAAATTGGAACGCAACGGCCTCAACACACGGAGGATTTGCTACGGCTCACCAATGACAAAAGACAAACGATTCACCTCAATAGCATTGCGGATCGCATCGGCTACAGAGCCCAAAAATTAAAAACCCAAAATACAAGATCCAGCACGCAACGGCTACGTACACTGGGGGACTGCGTCGGCTCACCAAGGCAAGAACCCACAAGTCAAACACTTCGGCTGTATGGCAAATCAAAGATGCGCAGCCGCATCGTCCGCATAAACGGAATCAACCATCTCCACTCCATAAAGCTACGTTGTCGCTGCGGCCAAAAAAGTTGTGAGGGAGCTCTTCGGCCCCAACAGATGAATAATGAAACAGGCCAGTTTTCCATCAGAATTCACATCTACGGAAAAAATAAAGCGCATCGCCTCGTCCTCAAAAACACTTTCACAAGGAACGCATCGGCCCGCACCAAGGCCACGAATCCCCGAGAGCGCTTCGCCTCCTTCACATGAGGAAGCCGCTTCATCCAAAATCAAAGCAGAACCTCTTCGGCCACCAAGCACCTCGAGCTCACACAACGGCCAGCCAGAAAGGAACAAGTACTCCCTTTCGCTTCGGCTTCGCCTCAGCTCAGAGAGTGGGGGACTCCTGATAGAGTATATGGGCCTGGATCCCATGGCCCACATACTTAAGTCAACGATGACCAGAAGAACACCCACGTGGCCCCCTTCGGCCAGTGGGTCCGCATCGGCCAGAAACCGAACCGACCCAGGAAGCACGCCTGGACTCCCGGGGGCCGCATCGGCCCATGGACCGCATCGGCCATGAGACCGCATCGGCCAAAAGGCACCGCATCGGCCAGATTTCGCCCTGGCAGAATGCATCTCTCTACTTTATTTACTAAGTATTGTACACAGCCCATTAGTGGCCCTATTTCACCCAAAGAAGGCATGATTATTGTAATGGGCCTCCTAAGCCCATAGCTAGGAGCCCAAATCCACATTTTTTCCTATAAATAGACCCCTTGGGGCTAGTTATAGGGGGTTGAGAAATATAATTACTCACTTTCTCTCTCTAGCTCTCACTTCTCTCTAGAATTAATACTCTATCACTATCTATATAAAAAAAATCTATATCTATCTATATCTATTTATCTATTCTATTTATATATAAGAAAAGAATAGGTTGTTTAAAGGACAATTAATTAAGCCCTTACTAATGCCTACGTGTTCTCTCTCCCGCATTTCTCTCCGATCACACATTTCGGCCACGTGGCTTGCTAATGTTTGCTTGCTTCTCATTGTCAATTCTCATCTCCCACGATTTTTGAACGGCGTTGCTTCATCACAAAAAAAAAGGTGCATCTTTCCATCTTTATTTTCTGCGCACTCATCTCTCCGGACGATTTCAACGCTGATCGCTTACATTTAGAATTCCCCATTTATCTCTAATTGTATGCAAGGTACAATGCAGATCGACATTATGGCTTCGTACTCTCACTGCCCAATCTCCAATTCACCGTTCCCTAATCTGATAGTCTGCTACGTGATATTATTTCCTTGGCTTTATGGAACAATTCTGCTTAGGTATAAGATGAATTGTCTGAGATAATTGTTGCTTTTAAAATTTATGTTTACTTCTGTCTCAGGTTTAATTTTCTACCACATCAAGTCAATTTTGCAAGCACAAATCCTTGGGTGCCAAGTAGCAGAGGTAGTATCTAATTCTTCATTTCATTTGTTTCACGATTCTCTGTCAATACAACTTCAGTCCAGCTTTGATTATATTTTGCACATGTGTTGTTTGATTAAGTGTTTACATATGTATGTCACTCATATTTCTGGCTGAGCTAATTTCATCTATAATGCATTTGGTTGATAGCATTAACCATTTTTTAAAGACTTGCTGAAGCATTTGGTAAAGTCCGTATTAGTCTGATAAATACGTAAAAGGCTCTACTTAATAGCGCATTATTATTATTAGGGAAAATGGAAACTAATAATCCAACCTTTTAGCGATCTTCTTTCAATAATCCCACCTTTTGATTATTCATGAATAATCCAACCTTTGCACCTCATCTTCATTCATTGGTCCCTGGTCGGTTAATGACCTACTATTCCAAGTTATTTTCTTATCTTTCCAAAATATTATCTTTGTGAAAGATGAGATTTATGGTATAATGATTTGCAAAGATAAGAAAATAGCTTGGAATAGCAGGTCATCAACCGGTCAGGGACCAGTGAATGAAGATGAGGTGCAAAGGTTGGATTATTCATGAATAATCAAAAGGTGGGATTATTGAAAGAAGACCGCTAAAGGTTAGATTATTAGTTTCCCTTATTATTATTAGTATTAAGGACCAATGTGTAATTACTTTATCTTGAATAGTATATATATATATGACTAGGGCTACCACATTGGTAAGCCATTATTCCCATAATATTTCTACATGGTATCAGTCGCTTAGGTTCCAAACCCTAAAACCAATTCACGATGACTACTCCTCCGATCACCTCTGCGACGCCCTCATCCATGGTGCAGCCTTCCGTCGCTTCTGGTGCATCATCGCCATCAATAATCGGCACCAACAGTGGCGTTCCAGTCTTCAAAATAGGTTCTTCCTCCGGCATGGCCTCTTCTTCCCTTCCATCACCTTCTCGGTTCATGATGCCTCCACCGACGGGTCCTGGATCATACAGGCTGTTTAATATGCCTGAAGCATTCTCTTGGGTACCTACTCTTTCTGCACCGCCTCCTACTCCTGCTGCAGCAACTTCTCCGTTTCAAAGCCAGCAGATTCCTATTGCATTCCCTGGCCAAACATTTCCTGGACAACCCAGAATTCAGCCACCCGAACATACCTCCATGTCAAGACTGCCTGGGATTACGGTAACGCCAACTTCCCTTTCTACGTTATTGTCCCAATTATCATTCTCAACTCCCAACGTTACAAAAATTGTCACTACTCGTTTGGATGTGGTTGAGGACTTCTTGCCATGGCGTACTCAATTTCAGTCCTTCATGGTCTCTCATGGCTTATTAGGCGTTTTAGATGGTACAATTGCAGCCCCTTTGCCTACTATTTTTTATAATAATGAACGTCGGGATATTCCCAAACCGGAGTATCATTATTGGTTGAAAATTGATCAAACGGTTAGGTCATGGTTGTTTGCTACTATATCCCGTAATATTTTACTTGAAGTGCATGATTTACAATTTTTTGCTTTAATATGGGAGCGCCTGGAAACTCGTTTCATGCAAGCTAGCTTGGCCCGATCCATGGAACTCAAATGCCTTTTAAACTCTCTTAAGAAGGACTCTCAGTCCATGGATGATTATCTACGGGATATCAAAGTTCTTGCGGACAATTTAGCATTGATAAACTGTCCGGTTAGTAACCACGACCTTCTGGAGGCTACCATCACTGGATTGGGAAGGGGTTATGAGACACTCATCACCTCACTTACCCTGTTTCCAAACCAGTTCACTTTGGATAGCCTACGCCCACATCTCTTGGCTTTAGAACAGCGTTCCATCTATCTACGGAATGAAGAAAATCTGCCTGAGCATCAAGCTTTTGCTGCAGCAGAACCTGCTGCTAATGCTGTTCATCCAGTAGCTCGCGGAGGGGGGCAACCGCGTAATAATGGTGGGCGAGGTCCACACCGTGGTGGCAGGGGTCGGGGTCATCGCGGTAGAGGTCGAGGACAGCACGGAGGTGCTTATGGTGGTCCTCATCTTGCTGGTTATGGCGGCCCTCATGTTGCTGGATACGGCCAGCAAGTACCGGTGCAGCAGGGTTGGCCGCCCGGTCCACGTGGACAGTCCATCCTCGGGGTTCCAGGTACTTCTATTTGTAATTCTAGTCGTGTTTTATCAGGTACAAATGCTTTATTTTATTATGGTACTCACCCATTTATTCTACAGGTTTTCCATCAGCTGAGAATACTTTTCAGTCTCCACCCCCCGTAGTTTGTCAGCTATGTTTTTCTCCAGGTCACTCTGCCCTTAATTGTGCCCGCTTCACTAATAATTCTGCTCCAGCACTGGCGGCTTTTCCTACGGGTGAGTCGAATGAGTCTGTTTGGTATCCTGATTCAGGGGCATCGGCTCATATGACGCCACACGAAGGTATTCTCTCTAGTAAATCTATTTCCCCTGGCTCATTTTCTGTTCAAGTTGCTAATGGTAATAAAATTCCAGTTTTAAAAATTGGTTCTGTTAATTTATCCACACTTGGTCGCCCGCTTAAATTAAATACTGTCTTTCATGTACCGCACCTCAAATATAATTTGTTATCTATTCAGCGTTTATGTGCGGATAATGATTGTTCAGTAATTTTTAATAAAAATTATTTTTCTGTTAAGGACAATCACACGGGAGCCATTCTACTCCAGGCCTCCAGTGAAGACTCTGTCTACCCATTTCAAGCTGCCCACCTGACCACCTCTGCTCTTGCTCTAAAGACTACGCTAGTTTCAGGCCCTGTCTGGTACAAACGTCTTGGACATTGTGGAGACCGGGTTTTATCTCTTCTTAGGAAAAATAATTTATTTTTTGGTACTAGTAATTTTTCTCATGAGTGTGCTTCTTGTAAACTAGGCAAGTCCCACCGTCTTCCCTTTCAGGATGTTTTTCATACAAGTACTGCTCCTTTACAACTTATTCATTCTGATGTTTGTTAGTCTCCTACTTTGTCAAATTTAGGATTTAAATATTATGTTTCTTTTATTGATGATTTCTCTCGTTTTACTTGGATTTATCCTCTGCGTTACAAGTCTGAAGTTTTTCCTAATTTTTGTCATTTTCAAAAACTTGTGGAAAATTTATTTAATTGCAAAATCAAATGTTTTCAAAGTGATGGAGGGGGTGAGTTTGTAGATTCTACTTTTCACTCTCATTTTTTGAACCATGGAATTCTTTTTCGGAAATCTTGTCCGGACACTCCTGCACAGAATGGTGTGGCAGAACGTAAACATAGACATTTACTTGAATTGTCTCGAACCATGCTTATAGACTCTAATCTTCCCTCCTCTTTTTGGGTTGATGCTCTCTACACTGCTACTTTTATTATTAATCGTTTGCCAACACCTACTTTGCATGGTTTGTCTCCTTATGAGAAACTTTTTCACAAATCTCCTGATTATAATTTTTTACGAGTTTTTGGTTGTGCATGTTTTCCCAACATTGTGGCTAGTTCCTCTAATAAGTTATCTCCACGGTCTGCGCGTTGTGTTTTTCTTGGGTATGCTCCGGGGTATAAAGGATATCGTTGCCTGGACCCCCGGACTGGCCGTGTCTACATTAGCAGGGATGTTCAATTTCTTGAACACATTTTTCCTTACTCTACTCTCACATCTTTACCGACCTCTCCATCTCATTCCCTACAATCATGGAGTCCGACCCTCACTGCTAGCCCGGTCAAGCATCCCTTGGGTGGTCCAGTTTTGCCATCCCAGTCACTGCCCTCCCCCATAGCCATGTTCCAGAACACCCCAACCGGCTCACCCTCTCTCTCTCCAATACCACTACACCATTACAGCCTCACCCAACACCCTTAAGCAGCACTCCAGATTTTTCAGCCGAGAACTCACCTCCACTCACACCACTTACACCTCATTCTTCCCCAGGTAACGAATTATCCCCACCCCAGGCACCTTTGGCCTCACCTAACACAAGTCAGCCACTGCACACCACCCCTCCCCGAATGGCTCCCAATATTCACCCCATGCGCACTAGAACTAAAGATGGTATTTTTAAACCCAAAAATATTTTTACTCTTAATGCTTTAGCTCTTCCTAATGATCTCACCTGTTTTTCTCAAGCATATAAAAGTTTTATTTGGCGGGCTGCTATGGCGGATGAATTTAATGCACTAATTGCAAATAAAACTTGAGATTTAGTACCTTATGATTCGAATAAAAATGTGGTTGGGTGCAAATGGGTTTACAAGATAAAATACCGTTCTAATGGTTCCATAGAGCGCCATAAGGCTCGTTTGGTTGCCCAAGGGTTTAATCAACAGGCTGGGATAGATTTTTCTGAGACCTTTAGTCCTGTGGTAAAACCTACTACTGTCCGTTTAGTTCTCTTTGTTGCTATTTCTCTTGGTTGGCTTGTACGTCAATTAGATGTCAAAAATGCTTCTCTACATGGTCACCTCACAGAAGAAGTTAAGTATACATGCGTCAGCCTCCCGGTTTTATTCACCCTTCATATCCTTCTCATATATGTCGTCTCCGTAAAGCTCTCTATGGCCTTAAGCAAGCCCCTAGAGCTTGGTTTCATCGTTTCAGTGGCTTTCTTCTCTATCAGGGTTTCTCTCAGAGTCGGTCTGACTCTTCTATGTTCATCTTTCGATCTCAGAATCGTGTTTTGTATATCTTACTTTATGTGGATGATATTCTTATCACAGGTAGCTCTCAGTCTCTTGTTGATTAGTTTATTCTTGTTCTGTCTAAACAATTTGCTATGAAGGATCTGGGTAATCTGCATTATTTCTTGGGTATTCAAGCTCACCACACTCCCAAGGGTTTATTTCTGTCCCAACACAAATATGCTTCTGACCTTTTATGCCGTTTTCATCTTCACACTGTCAAGTCTATCAAAACCCCTCTCCCGTCTCGCACTACTTTATCTCTCACTGATGGGGAACTTTTGAGTGATGCTACTGAGTATCGTGGTATGGTAGGTGCGTTACAGTACTTGACTATTACCCGACCTGATATTACTTATGCCGTTCACCTGGTTTCTCAGTTTATGCATGCTCCACGTACTACTCACCTAGCTGCTGTTAAGCGTATTTACAGGTACTTACAGGGCACTTTGACACATGGCTTGTGGATTCGGTCAGGGCAGAAAATTTCGGTGGTTGTTGCTTACTCCGATGCGGATTGGGCTGGCTGCCCGGACAGTTGCCGCTCCACCACTGGATATGCTATTTTTCTGGAGGGTAATCTTATTTCTTGGAGATCCAAGAAGCAGCCTACCGTCTCCAAATCCTCTACTGAAGCTGAATATCGGGCTGTGGCATACACTGTTCAGGATACGCTATTTATTCGTTCTCTACTGGCAGATATGGGCATCTTGGTCTCGGATCCGGTCAAGCTATTTTGCGATAATGTTTCTGGTTCTTACCTTGCAGTTAATCCTATTCAGCATGATCGCAGCAAACACATTAAAATTGACTATCATTTTGTTCGTGAACGAGTAGCTCATGGGGATCTTGTTGTCAGATACATTCCTACTCAGTTCCAGCTTGCAGATATTTTCACAAAGAACCTCACTAGTCAGCGTTTTGAGTTTTTACGTTCCAATCTGCACATGGTGTCCCCTGCACAGATTGAGGGGGTGTAATAGCGCATTATTATTATTAGTATTTAGGACCAATATGTAATTACTTTATCTTGATTAGTATAAATATATTACTAGGGCTACCACATTGGTAAGCCATTATTTCCATAATATTTCTACACTACTTTCATTTAAAAGTAACTGATAGAATACTACAACGGTAGATATTATTAATCAAGTATTTAGAGAGATTCCCAATTAAGGACAAGCTAGATTTGTTTGAATAAAAATAGTGTAGTATAACGGCCCGTGATTTATGGAATTAATTAATTGTTTTAATTGTTATGATAATAGGATTTGCATTATTGCATTATCCAATAAGTTGTTGACACATCATTAGTTTTTAACTCAACTTTACTATATAAAACTATAGATTTAAATGTATAAAACTATAGATTTAAATGTATAAAACCTGTAAATACAAAATGATATATTATAGTTTTTTACTACTCCGTATTAGATACCATATACTCCATCCGTCCCCCTAACTTTGTCCCGTTTTATCTTTTTCGTCCGTCCCATTAAGTTTGTCTCATACCTAGTGGTGGACCCGGTTCGGGCCGCGCGGCCCAAGACCGGCCCGGCCCGTCACTGTACGGGCCCGGAACCAGCCCGGTTCTCGGGTCCGGGTCCGGTTCGGGCACCGAACCGGTGGGAGAAGCGGGTCCGGGCTCGGGTTCTGTTTTTGGTGGCCCGGCCCAGCCGGGTCGGGCCCAAACCCGGGCCTAACGGTCATTTAAAAAAAAATTCTTTTAATTTTAAAAAACACATTTTGGCTCAACAACCACTTCCCAAACGGCTATATAGCCGTTGGGGGGGTACCAGGGGGTCCGGGGCGTTTGGGGTGGGGGGGGGGGGGGGGTTAAAAAAACCTATAAATACTCCTAATTTTAAACATTTTTTCACACCTCTTCTCCAACTCTCCCTAAATCCTACTCTCTACTCATCTCCAATTCTCCATATTCATCTTCTCAAATTCTCTTATTCTCCTTTATATTTTATTTTACTATTTAATACTTATACAATTATTATATCTACTTATATATTAATTATCTACTTATAAATACATATACTATATTACTTATATTTCTTATCTACTTAATCTTTACTTATATTTCTTAATACATACATACATACTACATCTACTTAATATATACTTTATATAATAAAGTATTAAATATACTTTATAAACTATTACTATATACTTAATACATAATAATATCTACTTCTCTACTTAATAATATCTATTTTATATATACTTATTTTATAATATCTACTTTTATATATACTTTATAATATCTATTTTATATATACTTATTTTCTTATTTTCCAATCTCCAATTCTCCATTATACTCTAATATTTAATTCTTATACAATTATTATATCCACTTAATACATACATTCTACATCTACTTAATATATACTTTATATATTAAAGTATAAAATATAAGTGTATTACTCATCTTATAGTAGTATACTTATATATTATATACTATAAACATTATATTATATATTACTTAATATAACTAGTATTGTACTAGTTAATTAGTTAATTAGCATTGTTGTTACATTTTTCATTATACTAGTTATTTACTTCATTAGTATTCTCATTAATTGTTAAAACAACTCTACTTCAATAAACTAGTTAATTGTCATTAATTCATTATAGTTAAAGTCACATTTTCTTATTTTCAATTTATATTTGTAGGAAGAAATAGTAGTTCAATCATTTAATTAAAGTACTTAACATTTTATTTAAGTAGTTTTTACTAAATTAAAGTACTTCAAAAGTTGGTATAATTTTAATTTTAAAGTCACACATTAATTCTACTTTGCACTAAATTAGTTTGAAGTATTAATTAAAATAGTTTTAATTAGTTGCATTAGTTTTGTATCCATTATTATATTGGTTGTCAATTAATATTTGTTACATTTTTAAGATGGAAGGTGGTAGATATTCGGTTGATTTGGGTAACCTCCAACGCAATCGAAGGAACAAGATTGGGAGGAAGAAATCCCGCAAAGGTAAAGAACTTGCCGGTTCTTCATCTCAAAGCCGAGATGATTTTGAAACGGGTTACCAAAGACGAGATGGAGATGCGATGTCCGAAGAACAACTCCAACAAGAATTGGCCCGACATAATAACCGCTTTCTACAACAACAACAAATGCCGACGACCATTGACGAAGAGGAGCTTGAGGATGAAGATGCGGAGGAATTGGAACCGGAGACGGCCGAGGAGGGTGCCGGCAGCCACGACGCCGACGAGCCTGCCTCATCCCAAACCGCCACCGGGAATAAAAAAAGTAAGTCTGAACTAATGAAAAATAATTTTGATAAATGGAAGGACCCACAAACCGGCTATTGGCACGCAACTTGCAAGTGGTGCAACAACAATTATAGTTTGGGAACCTCCGGCGGATACGGATCCGCCGCAAGGCATCTTATTAAGGCAAAGCACCCTGTGGAGTATGCAAAATTAGGCGGGGGAACGGGGAAGCAAACTCAAATATCGAGGTTTGCGAATTCTCAAACTTTTGGTAATTTCTCCTACAATGATGCACAAAATTTGACTGGTATGGCTAACTTAATTTGTGAAGAAAATTTGCCTTATTTGTTTTCTGAAAGTCTTGCTTTAAGAGATTATGCACAAGGTTGTTTAAATCCTCAATTTAGAAATTATAGTCGCAAAACTGTTAAGAAAGAAATAATAAGGCTTTATAATGCGGAAAAGGAAAGGTTACAAATTTTTTTTGCAAACTTTGATGGGCGTGTTACTATTTGTTCTGACATATGGGAGGATGATTTTCATCATTTATATTATTTGGGTCTGACTGCACATTATATTGATGAGGATTGGAATATGCATAAACGTGTTCTTGCTTTTCGTGAATTTAATGATCGTCACACCGCTGAACATATTTATATTTTGATTGAGCGTATTTTAATTGAGTATAATTTGATTGATAAGGTGTTTGCTATTGGTTTCGATAATGCTACTAATAATACTGCTGCTATACCTAGATTGCGTGAGTTGTGTGGTGCCAATACTTTGATGGGTAGATTTTTTCATCAACGGTGTGCATGCCATGTTATAAATTTATGTGTGCAAGACGGTTTAAAAGCGTTAGGAGATTCCATGGAGGTAATCAAGGGGGGATTAGACGTATTTGGGGTAATGGTCAACTTAGATTAAAATGGCAAACTTATTTGATTGAAAGAGGTGTGAGATATGTTGCTTTTCCTAAAGATTTGAGTATTCGTTGGAATAGTACTTATAAATTACTTAAAGTTGTTCTTAGATATAAAGAACATTTTCCTGCTTTTTTAAAAGAACATCATAACTATATTATAAACGCGGCTGAGATCGACACTTGCGAAAAAATTTGTAATGTTTTGATATATTTTTTTAATGCTACTGAAACTTTTAGTCATGTTTATAAACCTACCGCAAACCAATTTATTCCACAAGCTGTTAATCTCGCCGATGCTTTTAAAGCATTTCAGAATGCCGTTTTCGTTCATTATTTTTGTGATTATATGAAGGAAAAGTTTTTAAAATATTATGCGCATATTCCCCATATTTATGGTATTGCATTTATTCTCGATCCTCGTTATAGACTTGCTAATTTGGAAGATTGTTTCAACTTCTATTATCATGCGTTTTTTGGTGAATTTCCAATGTATGACGATAACCCCATAGATCCGAAAACGGAATACAACGAGGTTAGTACTTTATTTTATGCCTTATTTAATGAGTTTCGTGCACAATATAGCAACGCTCCCCCTCCCCCGTCACGAACATCTTCATCTAAAGGAAAATCGATTTTTAAATCTGCATTTGTCAATCTTATGAAAAAAACAAAAACAACTCACGTCACTGAACAAAGTGCATTGAATGAGATTACTTTGTATTTAACATATGAAGTTGATTTTGAAGAAAATGATGACTTTGACGTTCTAGACTGGTGGAAGTCAAAAGAAAGAACGTTCCCGATTTTAGCACGGATGGCTAAGCAAGTACTATCAATGCCGATTTCAACAGTTGCTGTTGAACAAGAATTTAGTTCGGCCGGCAACGTCCTAACGGCATCTAGATCGAGATTGAGCGCGGAGTCTCTTGAGACGCTTATATGCTACCACGATTGGTTGAAGGCCGCACGTAGAACTCAAGAAATGAGCATCACCCCCTCCCAAGATTTTATGGATGACTCAACAACCGATGGTGGCTCTACCTATGCCGGAGATTCCGATTGATTAGTATTTTAGAATTTATTATAAAATGTATTTTATAGCACTTGTCAAATTTATTTATACTTGTACTTCATATTTCAAAATTGTAAACTTGTACTTCATATTTCAAAATTGTAAATTTGTAGTTGTACTTCAAATTAATTTGTAAACTTGTACTTCATATTTCAAATAAATATGTGTTCACTTTTTCATATGTAGCACTTCTCAAATTAATTAATTGGTTACAAACTAACGACTTAAAATTATTTTTCTAAAATATAAAGCCGGTTTTTAAATTAAAAATACATTTACAATATGTAATTTGTATAAATACTTATACACCTATTTTGTAACATTTGTAAATTATAAATCAAACCACTTTTCTAAGTACAAATAGTTTTAGTTTTACTTAATTCATTAAATTAATTAATTTATTTTACAATATGTATAACTTAAAAAAAAAATTGAAATCAAACCTCCCAAACGGCTATATAGCCGTTGGGGCTATGGGTGGGGGGCAGGGGGGTCCCGGGGGTGGTGGTGTGGGGAGTGGGGTTCAAAAACATCTATAAATACATCTATTTTCTAACATTTTTCTACACCTCTTCTCCAATTCTTCTCCAACTCTTCTCCATCTTCATCTTCTCTTATTATCCTACATTCCTACTTATACATATACCATTTTAAATATGGAAAGTACATCTTCCCTTATGCAAAACAATTTTGACAAGTGGAAGGACCCGAAGACCGGACTGTGGTGGGCAACTTGCAGGTGGTGCAAGAAAGAGTGTTACTTGGGGCGTTCATACGGATACGGGATGCCAATAAAACATATGAAGTCCTGTGACAAAGGTAAAACAACAACCAACGGTGGCGGAAATCCCAATTGATATTCATTAGAAAATGTATTTCGTATTGTTATTTTTTTCTCAATTCTCAAATGTAGTTCTTATTTCAAATAAATGCACTTGAACTTTGTTTTTAATAGGAATTTGTATAATATATAATTAATTAAAAAAAAAACTGGCCCGGCCCGGCCCGGCGGGTGGCCCGACCCGTGACCCGGGCGGGTGGCCCGGCCCGAACCGGAACCGGCTTTTGCCCGGGCCGGTCCCGGGCCTACCATTACAAGACCCGAGGCCCGACCGGGCCTTGACCCGGCCCGGGCCCGACCCGGCCCGGGTAGACCTGTCAATGGGTCGGGTCCGGGTCGGAACGTACTGTTCCAGACCCGGACCCGCTAAGTAAATAAAGGACCCGGACCCGACCCGTTTACCCGGCGGGTCTAAAAATTTGGACCCGGACCCAACGGGTCTCGGAACCGGGTCGGGTAGACCCGCCAAGTATCATATGCACAACATTATATAACTTTTCTTTGACAGAACATTATATAATTTTTTAAATATAGTAAAACATGTATATGAAATGTAAATCAAAGTGCACAAATTTAAAAGCAAAATATATCTTCACTTTTCAAAAAAAAAATCAAGGTTTATCATAGAAAATTAGTACTTTTATTCAATAAAATATCGGTTCTTGTAGATGCGTACAATTCCGCACTTTGTGTCTCTTTCTCTCCCACAGAAAGCTCGTATATTAGACTAGAAATTAGGTCACAAAAAGTTCTTTTGGACTAAAAGCATATTAAATACTACGTACTATTATATTATCACTTATACATTAGGTATGTATTAATTTGTTTCTTTTTAATCAAAGAATTAAAACTAATCACTTTATATATATTAGTTTGTATTTTTATTTGAAGTATTATAACTAATCTCTTTATGTATTAGTGTGTGTGTATAAATACTAATAAGAAATTTTAAACGGGTCTGGGTCCTTAACGGGTCGGAATCATAAGTACCATACCCGACCCGTTTATTAAAAGTACTAACGGGTCCGGGTTCGGGTAAACGGAATAAAATAAGGACCCATACCCGTTTAAAACAACCGGGTCCGGGTCGGGTCCGGGTCTAGACCCGACCCATTGACAGGCCTAGGCCCGGGTCCATCCCTACTCATACCATATTAGATAATATTTGAGTGGTTAGAATTCATTCCTACTTTATTTATTTACACTTTATCAATTCAATATCAACCACACAATTCCACTTTTTCTTGAAAACAACATCACACCCCTTTGTCCCAAACTTAGGGGGACGGAGGTAGTATATAACATGTGAATAAAAGTTTTTTTAAGTTGAATCAAAATTTTCTTTGTAAAAAACAACTTATGTAAAAAAACTTTCATCTTTTCGCGCCCAAGCCTTGCCCGTTCGCTCCTGAGTTTCCTTCTTTTCACGCCTTTTATGGTCAACTATTCAGTTGATCACACTTTTGATATATTTCTACTATGCATGAGGTTTTCTCGTTGCCTCACGCCTGGGCGCATCTACACCGCATTTTACCGCAAATGATCATTTTAGTTATTTTTCATATAAACTTTCCTTTATTTTATTAATAAAATATATTTGAAATATGTTTTTTTATAAGTCAACAGAAACAGTCAATTCAACCACTCCACCTGAAGTTTCATAAATTTTAATAGAAAGAACCAATTCATCCAATTTTAGTATTACCAAACGGACTCTAAATATGCAAAAAAACGGGGGTTTTCAAAAATATTACTAAAATAAAACATACTTACACAAATATGACTATTAGTTACTACAATGTTATTTGATGGTAACTTAAGTATAAAAATTGAGTATAAGTTATTAAAATTTCATTACTAATAGTCATGAATCACATTTTAATAAACAATCTCTATTTTAGTCATATAGAATACCCATGCACCTTTGTTAGCAAATTAGCTTTTTTCTTTATTCTTTTTTAAATCAAAAGTTACTTTTTCTGCTTCTTGTAAATTAAAGTATAAAAGTCCGGATCAGCCAATAAAAAAGATTCTAAATCCAAATTCATTGAAACTCCACAAAGATCAAAGTGCATCCCTCTTTACACCTTACTCGGTTCACGTAAGAAAGTGAAGTGGTATGTTGCCATCGATGTTTTTCAAGGTGCATTTAACTTGGTTTTGTCCATTAACGTTTTCCAGGAGATTGTCGGAGGAGTTGAACCCATTGGGCCGAAGAGCTTTAATTTCTTGTACACTGTTTGGGGAATTGGTCATGTCTACCGATAGACTCTTGTGTGCTTTCTATGGTATTGCTTCAAAGTACTTCCTTTGTGCCTCGTACCTCATCTTCAATTTCTTTTGTACCACCTCAACCTGCTCTTCGCCTCTTCAACCATGTTCTGAACTTCATTTTGATATCTTGCAGGATCTGCAAATGAGATTTCTCCTTGGATATGATGTATAAAAGAGACTAATATTTTTCTGACATGTGTGAAATTGCATCAAGAAATCCTGCTCATTCCTGCCACATACATATCAATTAATATTTGCAACTCTTGCTGCAACATCCAAATCCTGGCAAATGATAGTTCTAGAAAAATCCTGCTCATATAAAAAATGCAGCCAATACCACCTATCACATCGTTAATCAAAAGTGCTATTCTTAATAGTTTTTATTGAAGTAACGATTTGAGCTATGATTTTGGTTTAGTGACTGCTTTATGAGATGAGGTGGAGTAGATAACATAACCTCTGTCTCTAAGCTCCTGAGTCCTGAATTCAAGGGCACATATTAGGTGATTAGGTTAGGTCATTATACCAACTAACAGTCTGTTCTCAGCTTGTCTCTAAGCTAGCTTAAAACAGTAGAATAACTAAAAGCTGATAAAGAAAGAGTGTAACACTTGAGATTTAATATAAACGGATTAATAGTACTACTCACAAAGTGCGAGGTAAAAGCTCGTGGTGATTTGTGGGGACAGTACTATTGGTCCGGAGTAACTACCTCGGGTCCGGTGAGGCCTGGATGTTACAAAGAGCTAGGAGCTAAAACGTGAAATCTATAATATAAGGTATTAGGAGTGTTTGATAGAATTAGGTGCGCTTATATATGTGAAAAGGCTTAAGAAAGGAGGTTATTTCAACTCATTCTTTTGAGAAACAGATCCAATCAAATAGTTATATATATTCAAGGTGTTGACAAAAGTGATAATACTTCCTTACATCCTTATATTATCAGGTTAACAAATATATCATCCTGAGAATTTTTTTTTTTTAGTAAGAACTGTGTTTGCAATCATAACCAAACTACAAATGAATCAATGAAAATTCAAGTATTAAACTTTAATCTCATCACTCTCTTTGGAGTTTGCCCCCTTAGGCCCTTACCTAAAACTCTCCATAATTGAGTTCTTTATTTTTAAAAACCTCTCTGCTATACTACTTTATTAGTACTGGCT